GGGCTGATCCCCGCAGAAAGTGTCAAAACACTGAGACCTGGCTGGAATCCACCACACAGGCTGGGGCAGGGCAGGACAGGGGTGGATGGAGAAGGGCTGTGCTGCTCCTGGGGGCCCTGTGTGTCTCCTTGCATCTGGATGCACCCCAGGAAGGAAGCAGCCTGCCTGGTAGGTTTAGGTGGTGTCTGGGCCAACACCTCCCTCTGGCTCAGCCCAGGGGTCTTCCCCCCAGCTGTGAGCCCGGCAAGGTGGGGGTTAATTAACCCCTGTGTCAGAAATGTGTGATTAACAGCTCTAGGAAGGGGCCTGGGACAGGAATCCAGGTCTGTGACACCCAACTCTGGGGCCAGACTGGTGGTGCAAGACACTTGCCAAGGTTATGGCTGACAGTCCCCAAAGTCTGTCTCTGCCAGGGCTGTCAGTCATGGCCCAGCCTGGCACTGTGTCACCTCAGGAAGGGGCACCTGGCTGCTTCCACTGGGTCCTGGCAGGAGAGAAGTTGCTTCCCAGCCTTTCCCTGGTTTCCATATCTGAGGCCTCAGGGTGTCCTTGGGGTCAGCAATCCTTGTCACTGCTGTGGCAGTGGGGGCCCTTGTTGTCACCCTCTGGGGGCCTGCAGTGGCTGTTTTCCTGGTTTTCCATTAAATGGGATATTCTGCTTGCAGTTTGAGGCAAGGGAGGCTGGAGATGGGAGAACAGTTCCTGTAGCCTTTGCTGAGTGTGTCTCACAAGTCTGCCATGGTGGATCCAGGGCTCTTCCAGATAGGACAGTGCTATGGGTGCTCTTTCAAACCCCATTTCCTGCTCTTCCTACAGATATTTAGGGGGTTGATCCCAGTTTCCTGGCCAGGTTTGAGCCTTGTGCTTTGGAGGAAAGCATCTGGAGGACTCCTGCATGTCTTAGTCATGACCTGCAGTGATGTGGATCGGGTAGGTGAAGTCAGGGGTGCCTCAGCATCTCCCTGAGCCTTGAGGCCCTGAAAACCAGGGAGAATTCCCAAGGGTGATTCTACTTGAGAGCCCTGACAGTTTGGGAAGTGCAAGGCTCCTCCTGTCATGGATTTGCAAACAGTGGGGGTGGTTTTTCCCGGTGGAGATTGTCCAGGAATGCTGATGGGAGGCTGTGGTGCAACAGGCATCCCTGGCCAGCTCTGTCCACCTGTACATCTCCACAGGGCGCTCCGGCTGTCGTCATCCCGGCGAGCCACTGGATGTCAGTGTTGATTGAGACACACGACGTGGAAGGAATATTTTACCCAGCTGCAGAAAGCCAGGCGTCCTCTGAGCAGTGGGGATGTGCCCCACGTCTAGCTGGGACCTGGAGGCGACATCTCCAAGGGAACGAGCTTGTGGCCGGTCAGGGGTTACAGCAGGGCGGGGCAGTGATTCAGCTGCTCAAAAATGCGTTTGATGCAAGGTGTGACACCAGGGCTGGGCCTGACACGGCAGCCTGCCTGTCCTGGGGGGCAGAAGCAGCCGGGCTGCCACTGATTTCTGCCCTTGAGGCAGCAGGGCTGGGTGGAGCTGCGTCGGGTTTTATCCCAGCTCCGGCTTTGACTCTCCCTATCCTGTTGTCGGCTGTGGATGCCACAGAACCCGTGGTGACCCCAGCCCACTCCTGGGAGTCATGTCCTGCCAGAAGCCAGGCTGTGTGCTCACAATTTTCCTCTGTTTTCCTTTTCAATGCATGAAAATTCACCTCAGAGGAGCATTACTCTGCCCCTGTCTTTACTCCACTTGCTCAGATTTTTTGAGGGCACATCAGTGCTTAGAGACACGGACACCCAGGAAGCTCCAAGCAGTGCTTCAAGCCCCACCCCCATTTTCCAGGCACATTAACACCTTTTCCCATCCCATAAAATCCAGCCCCAGCCTCTGGGGAGTGCTGGGACAGATGCTTCAGCCCTGTGAGGGGCTGGAGCCCGTGCTCTGGCTCCAGTCCTGTGCTCCCTGTGTGTCACAGGGATGTCACAGCAGCATCAGCCCCTTCCCCGTCAGTGGGGCACAGGGTCTGGCTGAGGGCATTGCCTGCAGTGGGATGATCACACTTCCATGTCTCCCTCCCCTCCGTGGCCAGGAAGAGCAGTGGATTGTCGTGGAAAGGAAGTGGGGAAAAAAAGATCGATCCAGTAGCAGCCTGGTCCAGAACACCAAGGGACAATGTCTGTCCCCAGCCCTGAGGTGCTCCCCAGCTGATGGGATTACAGGTGTATTTTCAGGGCTGAAGGTATTAACTCTCAGTGGTTTCCCTTTTTCCTGGGATGCCAGATGCAGTGTGAGGTCAGGAGGCACCTGGCCAGATCTGTGGGATGGCCCTGGGCCTGCTGTGTGTGGGAGGCAGGACACATTTGGTGGCAGTGAGGGGACACACTGAGGACTGGGTGTGTCTAGGGTGTACTCTGTGCAGTGTTAAGATGCAGGGTCCTGCTGTTGGTAATTTTTTTGGGGTGCAGGGTCCTGCCAGGTCCCTTCCTGAGAGTCCAGGCCCCATGGCCTGGGTGCACATCCCAGAGCAGCAAAGGCAGGATGGGGAGCAGGCAAGGGGCCAGTGCTGAGCTCCTGGGTGGCACAGGGGAGAGATTCCAGCCTTCCCACTGCTCTCCTTCACTCCAGCCTTTCTGCTGCTCTCCCTTTCCTTACTGCAGTCACTTGATGGCGTTGGTGACACAAGCTGTGTGGAGCAGCCCCACGGCTCTGCTGGCAGCGTCCCCTGTCAAAGGGTTTTTGCTGGGAAGAGCCCTCTGAGCCTTCCCTGTCCTTGTGGGGCCGATTTTTCGGCTGGCACACCAGTGAGAGCTGGTGCCTGGCTCCTCTGAGCCACCTTGGACCTGCAGGAGAGGTGCAGCTTTCCTGGCTGGATTAAACAGGAGATGGCACAGGGCTCTGCATCTCACCAAGGGTCCCTTAGTGCTTGTTCTGGCCCAGGTGATGCAGAAATCCCTGCTGACAAGTGGTTCCCATGGGGGCTATGTCCCCAGTGTTCCATGGGTGCAGGAGATGTGGGGAAGTTGGATCTCACCCATGGCTCTGTACTAAGTCCCCAGTTCCAAGCTGAAGTCACACTCCAGGAGCCCAAATTCACCCCTCTGGCAGTCCCATAATGAATTCCTGTTGTGCCAAGCTGTTAGGGAGCTTTTTCCCCGTGATTATTTCTTCCCTAAGGTAAAATAATTCTCCCTCCTTCCTCCCCCACCTGGCGTTTAATCACTTCCCCATACCTTGGTGGCCTCTGCCACATACTGAAGTGGGGGGACCTTCACTGTCTCTCCCTGTTGCAGATGAACCCTCGCCAGCTCCTGCCTTCCCAGGCCCTGTTGGCACGGCTTGGAGCATCCTGGTTGGGATGGCCTCCCCTGGCTCAGCTGGGACTCCATCCATCTCCTGACTGTGGGGGCTGTATCCCCATGGATGCATCCCCAACCTCCCTGGGCAGCTCCTGGCGTGAGCAGTGTTTGTGCTGGAAGGAGGGGTGGATTAAATCGGGAATTTAAGGTTTTTGGCCGGGATTCAGGGGCGTGCCTTGGGATTACTGCCCTCCATCATCATCATCTTCGCTGCTGTTTCCTGTGCTCAGTTTCCCTGACTGCTCTCCCCCATCCTGGACAGCCCTTCTTGCTCTCCCTGCCTCTCCCTTTGTCCTTTCTCAGCGCCGTTTTCCTGCCCGAGCACTCACCGAGCTCGTGGCCTTGATGTCTTCTGTGGCATTTGCATATAAAGGTGGGTTTTAATAACGCAGGAATGAGAAACTGATGAATTTCAGTGCTGCTGGCTTCTCCTGGGCCTCGTAAATCACTGCATAGAGCGTTGCAGAGCCAGCCAGGGAGAACTGCTGCCTAGCAACTTCTCCTGGTTCCCTGGGGGAGCAGGATGGGGCCTTAAAATCCACCTGAAAAGTCTCCTTTAAAGCCCTGAGGCCTGGGGGGGAGAGGAGCTGTAATGGAGGAAACCTGCTTAGGGGAAAGAGTTGGAATGTAATTGGCATAAGGAGTCACTTTGCATCTGAATGTGTCGGCTGAGCACAGGGAGGGATGAGTCAGCCTGTGCAGGAAGGATCTGGAGATGCAGGACAGCAGAGCAATGGCACTTCCCTGTAATCAGCAGGGATGAGGATGGGCAAGGGCATGGGAGGGCAGCAGTGTGTATGGCTCTGCCTGCCTACTCTTCCTTCCCCAGGAGAAAGGAAAACTCTCATGATCATAGTCTTATCCTGGAGAAAGTTGTTGGTTTGGAGGATAATGAGGAGAAAGAGGGACAGAAAAAGATGTTTGCTTGTTCTGCTCAGACTCCAGCAGTGTGGGAGGTGGGGACTATGCACCTCCAAGGCTGTGTCCCCAGCCAGGGAGGTTTCATCTGCACCTCCTCCCTTGTGCCAATGGGGATTTGGGGCAAGGGTTTGCCTTGTCTTCCCATCGGGGTCTTGCTTCATCCCCATCACTGCAGTCATCAAACCCAGGTCTCATCCTGCCCCAGGTCACTCAGGGTTTCAGAATGAGGTGGCAGAGCCATGCAAACATTTTGGGCACTCGGGGCTCCACAGCCATTCTCACCTTTCTCTCTCCAGCTCCCCACATCACCCAGAGACCCCCAGGAAGATGCCAGGGCTGATTGACCGTGTGACCCTCTCCCGGCTGCCCCTCATTGCGTCCGAGGTGACATCCTGCGTCAGCGGCTATGCCTTTGGGATGACAGCCCTGCTCACCTACCACAACCCAGACCCCCAGGCTGTGGAAGGCAAGTTTGAAGGAGTGAAGCTTGGAATGGGAAGTTTAAAGCCAGGATATGGCAGTGCTGGGTTTCTGGGCATGCCTTCAACCTTTAGATGCTGGTGGGAAGCACAACCAAATATATTGTGTCCAAGTGTACAACTTTTTAGGTGTGAAAAATCCCACAAGTGGGATTTTTTTCCCACTTGGGAAGTGCCAAGAGGGACCTGGCTGGTGGGTCCAGGGAAGAGGTGGGTGTTGCTGACACCCTTCCTGGCTGGCAGGTCTCTTTGTGTACCCCTTGGACGAGGGCACAGCTGTGGTGGGCTTCGAGGCGGCCGTGTCCCGGCGCACCGTGACAGTGCAGATCAAAGACAAAGCCAAGATGGATGACACCTACTTCAACAGCTGCAGCCTCCCCCCTGGAAGAGCTGGTGATGGGAGTGGTGAGGGGGCTGAGGGTGTTTTAGGGAGAAAAGGAGGGGAAGGGGAGTGGGGAGGTGATGGGGGTGGCTGGCTGGTGTATGCTGCTGCACCAAGGGGGCTCCTTTTGGGAAGATGAGGGGTTGTGGTGCTCATGCCAAAAGTGTCAGTCTTATCCATCTCGGAAAGCACTGCTTCTTCTGGGCAGCCAAAGGAGTGATGCAGAAGCTGGGGCTCTTTAGAGAAAGCTGATGTGTGCAGTGGTGGCAGCTTTGGATGTTTGTTGAGGGCTGGGGCTTGTGCGAGGCCTGGAAAGGAGAATTTTCCATGGTTGCAATACCTGGCACGATCCAATCTCTGTGCAGGAAGGCTTATGATGGATGAGGACCTGGAGAGGATTGTTTTTGTGGCCAACCTGGGCATGATTCCTCCCCTGGAAAGTGTCTCCATCTTCATCAGCACCTCTTCTGAGCTGCAGACACTGCCCAGCGGGGTGGTGAGGGTCCTTCTGCCAGCTGTGTGTGTCCCCAGGGTCCCCCAGCCCAGCCTGGAGAATGCCAGCAGCTTTTCCAGCCACCAGCTCCAAATGTATGAAAAACCACGGGGTGGGCTGTGTCTGGGATTGATCCTGGAGAATGCAGGGCTGAATGAGCAGGAGCTGCAGGAGGCTGGAGAGTGGCTGCAGGCTTTACCTCTGGCAGACCTGCAGTTCCTGGGAGCATAGAACATGTTGACAGGGTTTATTTGGATTTATCTCACCATCAGGGACAAGCACCCCTGCGGATTGGGGAGCCCAGAGCAAGGGAGCAGGTTCTGCCTGGCTCAGCTGCTGGACAGTGAGCCCACCAACCCCTTTGAGTATGAATTCAGCTTCCACCTGGAGATCCGGGGGCCATGTTTGCTGGCAGGTAGGAGCACTGGGGCTGTCCTGCTGCACAAGGCTGATTTATCACCTCCCCAAGGCAATGTCCACACTCCCCCTCCTCCTCAATGTAAATCTGTGTTGGCAACTTAACTGTGCTGGGGTGGATTTACCAGCACAGGATTGATGCTAACGTGGGTTCCTGTCCTCTACTGCCTTGTCATCCCTTCTCCCTTCTGTCCCTCACCCTCAATCCCTACTGGCACCTCGTTTTCCCTGCAGGAGTTGAGAGCCCCACACACGAGATCCGAGCAGATGCTGACCCCTCAGCTCGCTCTGCCCAGAGCATCGTGATCACACTGGCCAACAAACACACCTTCGACAGACCCGTGGAGATCCTGATCCACCCAAGTGGTAGGTGGGCTCTGCTTACCCTCTGCTGCTCTTGCCCCTTCCTGGGATCTTCATCTGTAGCTCTGGATTAGTGCTGGTTTTGCAAATATTGTCAAGGTTAGGCTTCCCAGGAGGTAATCCTGGCCCCTCTCAGGGTTTTCTGAGCTCTCCAATCTCACAGGGGCTGCTGTTTTCCCAACCAAGAGAGCCTGCATCTCTGCCAGACCCAAATTGTAGCCACAGCTGTTCTTCACACAATTCTCTGCATTTACAGAGCCCCACATGCCCCACGTCCTAATGGAAGAGGGTGACATGACCCCTGCAGAGTACGAGCGACACCTGAAGGGGAAGAACGATTTCATTAAAGGCACTAAGAAAGACCCCAGTGCCAAGAAAAAGGTGAGAAACACAAGCTGCAGGTGTTAGCTGAGGCTTTCCATGGGCTGGAGCTGAGCTAGGAGATGATTCCATGTTTCCAGCATCAGATATTACACTGTCCCAGTGAGACCTGCAGCATCCTCCCTCAGAGAGGGGCTTGTGTGGAGGAAGAGGGGGAAATTCAGCAGTGCTGCTGATAAACTGAGAGGGGAAGGAGCTCTGAGATGGTTATTGTGTGTATAATTAGTGCTAGTCTAGCATAGCATAATTAGAGAGGTGCATTGTGATAGTATTAAGGGTATTATAATTATTGCAATGACATAGAATAAAATATTCTTTTAATTGCTCGGTAAATGTTTACTGTTTCTGGGTAGCTGTCAGAGAGAAAGAAGTGATCTTCCTGGGAATAATGAGCTGAACTGAAGACAAGGTAGGAGAGACTTCTCTTTGTTCTGCTGAGCAGCAAAGAGAAAAATATCTGTGCTGGGATTTGTGCCTTGTCTTCCAGCAGTTCTGAAGGAATGAGTGACAGCCCAACTCTTTGGTGTGTCTGGGATCAGTGGAGAGGAGCAGACAGCTCAGAGCCCTCTGGATTTCCAGGGTGGGCGTCTTCTCCTAAGGGACAGGTCGTGCTTGTGTGGCCACAGCTGGGGCTGACAGTGTCAGCTCCTGTTTTACACAGCCAGGTCTCTCTCCTGTGTGCCCAGGGATGCTCATTTCCCCCTAAACTCCTTTTCCACGTGTCTGATCCTGGGTCTCTTTTGGCAGAGATCCCTGACCTGCTGCAGGGGTGTCTCCCCGTGCTGCTCAGATTTCTCCTTTCACCAAAGACTTGTCAACCCTCCTCTCCTCCCTTCCCTTTGCCCTCCACTCTCTCTGGCAGGGCTGGGACTCTGCAGGCGTCTCCTCTAATTGTGTTCAGCGTGTGGCAGGTGGAACGAGATGAAACTCCCACGCTACGCCTCGGATGGCTCCCTAATTATTTCTGCACATTTAGCATGTCAAATTATCTAAGGGGGGATCATTCTGGAGACACTTCCCTGCAGGAAAGCCACCTGTGCCCCAGGAGGACTGGGAAACAACTGCAGGGAGCAGAGAAAATGCCGTGAATACCTAGGGTAGATGATGGGCTGGAATTGCTGCTGCCTAGAGCAGGACATTGGCCACTTCTTGGCTTAAATTAAATTAGCCCAGAAATTTCAGCAGTAAATGATAAGTAATTCTCCTCCCTCTGTTTGTTATGCAAAAGGCTTGGATGCTGTCAGCTGCAGCTTGCTGGGGATGGATGCACACTGGAATCAACTTTACTCAACAAAATCTGATTAGTTTACTGTAATTGGATAATGGGTGAAGGGGAAGGGAGGTGAGGAGATGTTTTCTTTTCTGGCTAACCTGTAGCAGCTCCACTGAAGCTGTTTATTGAAGATTTGCCTCTAAAATTCCCTCCAGTCAGTGAGAAATCCCAAAGTATGGGTTCATCTTGATTGCACAGGGAATTTGTGTCATGGATACCCAAGAGAGTTCCAGGGAGTTCTGTGTATAGGTCCAGGCCATGATTCAGTATTTGTACAGAGGCAGCAAGGACCACTCTAGTCTGGAATGTGATAAACTGGAAAAATTGTGAAAGAAAATAATGTCATGTGGCTGGAGGGAAATGGAAACGGAAAAAGCCCTTTGATTTCTCAGCAGCTGATTAATTTATGATTTCCCTTCTACGCACAGCACAGAAGGAAAAGGCAGGAGGATGAGTGGGAACTTGGCTTATTCCTCTGAGTGGGACCTGTCTTTTCACAGGGTCAGAGAAGCTTTGCTCAGGCAGAGGAGCTGAAAGCAGAGCTTGTGTGTGTGTGTTGAGCCACAGGGAGTTAGTGAGTTTTAGAAAACAAAGGTTGGTCATCAGCTCATAAATTGAGGAATGTGACTCATGGCTGGAGAAAACAAGCCCAGTTATCTGGGGTCTGGTTTACTCCCTGTGAAACCAACGAGAAAAGCAGCCAGAAAGAGGAGAAAAGAGGCAAACAAAGCCCCTGAGGATCGAGCTGCTGTTGAGGAGTTTTTTCCACACTCAGACCCAGGGATGAAAGGCCATGGCTGGGCTGATGTGGGGTCCTGGAGCTCCCTCCAAAGCAGCTGAGGCCATGAACCCGTTATTGCTTGATACACACGTAACAGCACATTATAAACCCGTCACAAGAGGTTTTTGCCAGTTTTATTTTATCCCATTTGTAATGAATACTTGAAATAGAAGGCGAGAAAATGCAGAGAGCAATTGGAGCTGTGTGCAGTGCAGAGATCATGCGGGTTCCTATCGAGCCATGGCCAGAGCAAACGGTTCAGCTTTCCAAAGCCTTTCAATCCCTACAAAGAAAAGTGATAAAAGAAATGGGCAGAAAAAGCAGCAAACCAGAGGCGGCAGGAATGAATTGGAGTGCTGAATGCAGCAGATCAAGGGCTGCATCTCACACTTCATTAGTGAGTGACCATGGAGAAAACCTCTGGTGTGCCTCGGTGGGATGCTAAGCTGTGCTAATGAACCAGGTTTTTGGGAAGGATCTAATGAAATGTTTGGAGAATCAGATTTGCAAGGTGCTGGGTAGGGCGAGGTCTTTTGATTTCTTTTCCAGGGTTTTATCTGAGTGTGCAGTTACTCCATGTAGTCCCAGAATGGTTTGGTGGAGAGGACCTTAAAGCTTATCTTGTCCCATCCCTCCCATGGACAGGGACACCTTTCAGTATCCCAGCTTGCTCCAAGCCCTGTCCAGCCTGGCCTTGGAGACTTGCAGAGATGGTGAATACTGTGGGTATGGACAGAACAGGACACCTGGATATTGGCCCACTCTGGTGTTGTCACCTCTGAACAAGCAGATTCTGGCCCACAAAAGGCCATGCACCTGCATTTTGAGCCTTGCTCTGATTCCCCTTGAATTGAAATGGGGTGGAGAAATCAACCTCTCAAAATCAACCTCTCAAAATCAACCTCTCAAAATCAACCTCTGAAGCTGTCTCCTGCTTTCTTTCAGACGGAAATCATCAGGAAGAGGCTGAACAAGGACATCCCCCACCACCCTGTCATCATGCTCAACTTCTGCCCTGACTTGAGGACTGTGCAGCCAGGCCTCCGGACAGCCCAGGGCGAGTTCATCTTCCTGGTGGACCGCAGCAGGAGCATGAGTGCTGTGAGCATCAGCCGTGCCAAGGTACCTGCAGGAGGGGAAGCACCTGCCTGTCAACAGGGATGAGTGAGAGAGAGCAGTGGGGCTGCTGAGAGCATAACTGTTCATTAATTACAGGCTGCATTTCAGTCATCTCAACCATGGTGCTCCTTTGGTACCTGCAACAAAAGTGACTCTCCCCTGTTCTCTTCTGCTTCTTCCTATCAGCACATAAAATGCAAAATTATTTTCTTTCCCTCTCTTGCTGGCATGTTTTGTGCATCCTTTTTCCAGTTCTTCCTGTATCCAGAAGGGCTTTGGGTGATGGCTGCCTAGGATGAAACCTCCAGGGAGCTCCAAGGGGAGCAAGGTGCTGACCATGCATTAGGAGAGATTTGCTGATGGGCATCTCTGTGAACACACAGAAATTATTTAAATATGAGACATCCCTTTTCCAAACACAAATGGCCAGCAGCAGCCTAACTCCCCTAGTTATGGGTGTTGTGTTGAGAGCTCTAAACACAAAATAGCATTGTCAGGATAGTTTGTGGGTCTGAGGTTCCCCTGTCAGATGTGGCTCTTACCCAGAGCCAGCCCTGGTGCAGGACCCTGCACTTGGTCTGCTGAACCTCATGAGGTTCCCACAGACCCCCTCCTGAACTTGTCCATCTTTTAGCACATCTCCTTTCCCATCTGTCTCCTGTTTCCATGGGAACTGCTGAAGAAGGACAGACACCTTCAGCAACAAGGATTGGGATGCTGGAGAGCCTGCAGATGGCTGCAGCACACCCCCTGGGATAGGGAGGCTCTTCCCAAGGGGAACAGGATATCTCTGGGCTTGTAACCCCTTCCCCCAGCATCTTTAGGAGTCTGAGAATCTTTTCCCAGCATGGATTTTTGCATTCCAACTCCCAGCATGGCTGGGTTTGGGCACCACAGTCTCTGCAGCCTCTGTGGAGGCTGGATTGTCCCCTGGGGATGGGGACCTGCAGGATCAGAGCCCTTCTCTGATTGCTCCTGAAATGGGAACCCCATCTCAGGAGGGCTGTAGAAACAGCAAAAAGGCTGTTCCCCTTCAGGAAAAAATATTTTGAGGGAGATTTTGGAGGAGATACCTCAAGGGAGAAACCCACTGTCCCTCTTTTGAGTGTCCCGTCCTTGTTTGTCACTTGCAGACACCAGGGACCTCACAGCAGGAACTGTTCTGAGAGGGTTTGGGTGGATTTTGGTTGATGGAACCTTCTGCATCATCCTCAGCTGGCTGGATGCATGGCATGACAGGTCTTGGAGCTGTGCAGCCTCAGGATGCACTCAGGGATGGGGTGGAAGGGCCTGTGCAGAGCAGGAGGGCACCCATCCAAAGCAGCTGGAGTGGAAAATTCAGGGATTTAAATTTCCTGCAGCCAGCTCCTTTCCCACCCTGATGCAGCCAGGGAGAGGAGCCAGGCTGTGATGGTGCTCACTGGCAAAACTGCACTAATAACTGGGAATTGACTTTTCTAGAAGCAAACATCCCTCCTTATTGAGTTGCCATAAAGCTATGGAGTGCAACAGGATCAAGATCAATATTTACCATAAGAAGCAATAAATCTTTCTGCTTGCTGAAATAGCAAGCAGGCATCGGTTGCCCATTTTGGGAAATGCTTTAAGAGAAATATTTGGAAATTTGTATTTTTTCCCTTGTAATGAGTTCCAAGATGGGATGTCAGCACTGAGATCTGGAAGAGCCAGCATCCCGGGAGCCATCTGGGAGCAGTGGTATAAATATATCCTCGTAGGTTTGAGATAACAGCTTGCATTCAAGTACTCCAGAGCTTGTTAAAGGGCAGCCCTGCTCTTGTACATTATTCCACTGATTTTCAGTGCTCCAGCTCTGAGTTTTTTGCTGAGTCTTACAGGCTTTGGGAGCCTGTAAGGAGGAGCTTTTGGGATCCCTGCTGGACCCGGGCAGGGAGTTCGCTGTGTCCCTCTGTGGTCACTTGGTCTTTGCCACTGGTAGGACAACTCAAGGAGGCAATTCTTGCTCGTTTGACCTTGGCAGCTCCTCCAGGGGCTGGCTGGAGGGTTTCTGCTGCCCTGGCAGACTGGCAGGAGTCTGCCTTGATCAGCATTTAAATAGAACTGAGCTGCTCCTGAGCACTTTGCTTTACATTTTGCTTTAAATAAACACTTTGCTTTAAATGGGTCTTCTCTCCTGCCACATAATTGCTCCTACAAGTTCAAGAGCTCCTTAAGCAGCTCTTGCCCAGTTCCTGTGATCACAAGCTCTGTCCTGGACTTGTCCACAATACCACTGTGACAATTCAAGTTGCTCTTGCCTTATGTAAAGCCCAGGAATAGGCACATTAGATAACCACCTCTGGTAAAGAAAATAGCTTAAATCTGTTGTCTCCCAGTTATTTTAATTGAAGCCAGCTATGAATACAAGAGAATTGGGGATGGGGGAGGCTTTTCCTTTTGTGTAACTTTAAGCTGTTTGTTTATTTTCTGCAAGTTTAGGCATTGAGATGCATTGCGTGTCGCACTTCTCAATTTCACACTCTGCTTCTCACCCACCAGCTCTGTGCTGCAGCACTGTGTTGCCAGCACAAATTGAATCCCTTAAAAACAAACAGAAAAAATTGTTCAGTTCTTTGTTGTCCTTTTTCCCAAAGACTCCCCATTTTCCTCACTGCTTCACATCCCAAATATCATCAAGGGACTTTGAAAAGGGCTGGGTCATATGGAGGCATGGGAAAGAAGCAGTTGGTTTGTTGTCAGGTGGAAGTGGGAATAAGATGGGATGGCTCTGGGCAGAGCTTTTCCTGGTGAAGGTGGGGCAGCCAGGAAGGATCCAAGTGTCCTGATGTCTGTTTGCTTTTTACCCCTCAGGATGCCCTGTTGGTCATTCTCAAGAGCCTGATGCCATCGTGTCTCTTCAATATCATCGGGTTTGGATCCACCTTCAAGACCCTCTTTCCTGTCAGCCAGGCCTACTGTGAGGTGGGTGAACCCACAGTTCACAGACTCACAGACTGGTTTGTGTGGAGAGGGACCTTACATGCCATGGGCAGGGACACCTTCCACACTACCTGGGTGCTCCCAGCCCCATCCAGCCTGGCCTTGGACATTTCCAGGGATCCAGGGGCAGCCACAGCTTCTCTGGGCACCCTGTGCCAGGGCCTCACCACCTTTAAAGTAAAAAATTTCCATATAATACCAAATCGAACCCTGCCCTTCTTCAGCTTAAAGCTATTCCCCCTTGTCCTGTCACTCCAGGCCCTTGTCCAAAGTCCTTCTTCAGCTCTCTTGTAGCCCCTTTATACACTGGAAGGGGCTTTAAAGTCTCTCCAAAACCTTCCCTTCACCAGGATGAGCATCCTCAACTCCCTCAGCCTCTCCCCTGGCTCTCCTTGGTGCTCAGGGGGTGCTGGTGCTGACAATTCCCCTGTTCCTTTGGGCAGGAGAGCCTGCTCATCGCCTGCCAGAGCATCAGGAGGATCCGGGCTGACATGGGCAGCACCAACCTCCTGTCCCCCCTGAGGTGGCTCCTCCGCCAGCCCCTCCACAGGGGCCACCCCCGGCTGCTCTTTGTGCTGGCAGCCGGGGCCATCAGCAACACGGGGAAGGTTCTGGAGCTGCTGCGGGACCACTCCTGCTCCACCAGGTACAGACTGAGCCCTGCAGGGCCAGGAACTGGCACAGGCTGCCATGTGCCTCCCCCTGGGCACAGCTCCCTCTCACAGACGTCCCCACTTCAGAGACAGAGGCAGGAGAGATTGCTGCTATGAGCCATGGGAGAACCTCAAAGGGTTTGGAACGAATCCCAGAAGTTCAGATGCTTTTTAAACAATCAAAAGCAGGATAATTGAGCTGACAACTTCACAGCTCTCGGCTGATGCTTCCTGCTAGGAGAGATTGACACGCCAACAATCTTCCTCGCTTTTTTTTTTTTAAATTTTTTTTTAAAGCACATCTGGGGCTGGCCCCAGCTGCTTCCAGGATGGGGCTGTGCAGAATTGAATATGCTGAAAGGCAGCAATGTAAAAAGCAGCTAATTGTGCACAAGCTCCCAGCCTGGCTCCCCAGCCCTGATCACAGGCTGTTCTGGTTTCTCCTCTGCCTCTTTAAGGAGCACAAAACATGAGAAAAATGCAAGAAATCCTGATTCCTCTTCCATCTCTCAGACTTTGGAGTTATCAGGGAAGCTGCTCTGTGGGTTTGTAACTGCACAGAGGTCTGGTTGTTTCCCACCCTCCCACCCCTGGCTCCTGCAGGACTGGAAGGGTTAAATGCAATCAGAGCTGGAGCGTGGTCTCAGTGACCCTGGAACAGAGAGTGCTGGGCATGGACCATCTTAAAAGAAGATCAGAGCCTTATTTAGGAGGGGTGTGAGGCTGGCCTAGGATTTGCAGGCAGCTGAGGATTAAAATCGTCCAAGAGAAAAGCCCCTTGTGCAGATGCAGTTTGCTGCTGAAGGTGCTTTCTTTCTCAGCAATCCCCTGCCCTGCCCAAATGCCATATCCCACCCATTCCCATCGTCCTGGCTTCCTGGCACATCCATCCCCACCTAGCACTGCCCTCCCTGCCTGCCAGGGCTCCAGCTCAGCTTCCAGCCTTCAGCCCAAACCAAATCCTGATTCACAGACCTGGCAGTGGGGGGGAGCAGCCTCACCTGGCTTGATCATCCTTCCTTGAGAAAATGTTTATTTTCATTGCAAGCAGAGATAATTACTGGATCTTTAGTGCTATTGACCACAGCCAGCAGGGAAAAGAGCTGAACTGAGAGCAAAGCAGCTTGTTTGTGTTTGCAGAGGAGGGGAAGGCTGGAGGTCCTGCTGGGAACCCCTGAGTGTCACTGCTGAAGGCTGCTCTTTGGGGAAGGGGTTTGGGGTCTGCTGAGAGGAGGGGGCTGGCGGTTCATAGAACCCCAGAATGGTTTGGATTGGAAGGGACCTTAAAGCCCATCTCATTCCACCCCCCTGCCATGGGCAGGGACCCCTTCCATAGCCCAGAGTGCTCCAAGCCCCCTCCAGCCTGGCCTGGGACACTTCCAGGGATCCAGGGGCAGCCACAGCTTCTCTGAGCACCCTGTGCCAGGGCCACCCTCACAGGGAAGAATTTCTTCCCAATATCCACTCTAACCCTGCCCTTTTTTGGCTTTAAGCCATTCCCCCTTGTCCTGTCACTCCATGACCATTTCCAAAGTGCTTCTCCAGCTCTCTTGGAGCCCCTTTAGGCACTGGGAGCTTCTCAACCTTCCTGCCACATGCCTAGAAGAGGGGCTGGTTTATTCTGTTGGACACAGCAGTGGCATGAAGCCAGAGGGAGTTTCTGCCTGAGGGAGTGTGTGAGCTCCATGGGGCTGGTGGATGGCTTTTCCTCTGGATCCTGGTTCTCCCTGTCCCTTTGCAGGTGCTACAGCTTCGGCCTCGGGCCAAACGCCTGCAGGAGGCTGGTGCGGGGTCTGGCTGCCGTGTCCAGGGGCGTCTCCGAGTTCCTGGAGGAGGGCGAGAGGCTGCAGCCCAAGGTACAGCCCCGCTCCCCGGGCTCTGAGGAGGGCGAGAGGCTGCAGCCCAAGGTACAGCCCCGCTCCCCGGGCTCTGAGGAGGGCGGGAGGCTGCAGCCCAAGGTACAGCCCCGCTCTCCGGGCTCGCAGGAGGGCGAGAGGCTGCAGCCCAAGGTACAGCCCCGCTCCCCGGGCTCGGAGGATGCTCTGCCTCAGCGAGGGGGAGGCCACGGCTCCCGGGGGGCTCATTCCCCATCCTGGCCCTGCCTGCCCAATGCCCCCGCAGCAGGTGGGCCAGCGGGAGGGGATGAGAGCGCACCTCGGTGTCCGGCGGCCCTCGGAGGGAGCGGAGGGTGCGTTTGCCTCCGCCTGGGGCTGGGGACCGCAGGGACCGCGGTGCTGCGGCTCTGCCTTCAAAGGCAGCCGTGCCTCATACGGCGAGGGCAGTGGGACCGGCATCAAAGCAGCCAATTAGTTTTGAAGTCGGGCTCAGCCCTGGCGTTGCTCAGGCGGGAAGGACTCGGGGTTGGAGCGAGAGGAATGCGCTGTGATGGCTTTGCTTGTTAAGCTGGCTTTAAAGGCTCTCTATTCCCTCTCTCCCCGTGAAGAGTAAAACTGTGTGCTTAAAATCTGGCATAGGGATGGCTCTGTCCCCTGGTGAATGCAGAGCCCAGCCTGTCACCTGCTGCTTGACTAAACCCAGAGAGAACTGGGTCTTTAGCTCCTAAATATCTCCAAAAAGCCAACTTCTACCTTCTTGATCTCTCAAGGAGGAGTTCGACAACTCCACCCTCTGCAGGAGCCTGGAGCACACAAAAACCTCTCTAAGACAGAATGGCATCAACATTTCTGATGTAAATTAAAAGCAGAGACAGTGAAGAGAGAGGTGTTTAATAAGAGCTATTAATAAGAGCTTTGCAGGCTGTGCAGCTCGGTGCCTTCAGCAGTCTGAGGCGTCAATTAATGGCCTTATAAAACACAGCCTGGTGTGTCTTCCCAAGCCTGTGAAAAAGCAGGGAACAATGGGGAATATTTGAGCTGTTCTGTCTCTAAATCTGGTGTTCAGTTCCCTTGGTGTGCAGGGAAGCTCATGTAGATGGCTCCATGGGAGATTTGCCCATGAGGTATTCATGAATATTGGTCTTCTCCACATGTGTAACTGGCAGAGCATTGCTGATCTCTGGCAGTGGCTTGTGCCCGCAATGAGCTGTTCCAAAATTATCAGTGTGTGAGTGCTGGGCTTGGGACAAGGGCTGGGGCTGGGGCTCAGACCAGTGAAGGCATATCCTGGGTGCTAGAGGGGAGCAAGGGATGCTGCCTCACATCAGAGAAAGACCCCTCAGGTCATAGGCACCCACCTTGCTCTGGGCTGGCAGTGTGTGTGAAATCAGCCCTGTGCCCCATCACTATCTGCTCATGGTAAAAATCATGGAATCATGGAGTCATTTAGGTTGGAAAAGACCAACCATTAACCCAGCTCTGTCAAGTATAACTGTGCCAAGGAGATGGAGGTGCTGGGATGGATGTCAGAGTAGACTAAGAGGAAGCCGACTATCAGGAGAGGGTAGGAATCAGCTGATGGGACTGTTAGAGGGAATGTTCCCCTTCCCTGCAGCAAATGGCAAGTGCACCATGGCTCCCACCCTGTCTAGCTGATGTTGAAGCTCTCCCCTGCCCTTTGCAGATGATCAGGTCACTGAAGAAGGCGATGGCACCGGTCCTGAGTGATGTATCCGTGGAGTGGGTCTTTCCTGAGAGCACTGAGGTCCTGGTGTCCCCTGTCAGCAGCAGCTGCCTGTTCCCTGGTGACCGCCTGGTCAGCTACAGTGTCATCTGTGACACCTCCCTGTACCTGTCCAACCCCAGAGCTGTGAGTCTGTCCCAGGAGCGGGGAGTGTTGGGGTGTACACAGCACTCTTGGCTCTGTGCATGGTCAGGGGGTGTCTCCTGCTTGCCAGCTGTGTCCTTAAGGGAGGTGATGAGTGGGACTTTGGGGGGCAGTAGTGGCTGAGGGTGCTGGTCTCAGCTCAGGTGGACAGGGACTGTGGTGGGAGCTGTTCCCTCTCTGTGCTTCCCCCCAGGACAAGAGGCGGCAGTACAGCACGATGCATTCCCAGGAGTCGGGCAGCTCTGTTTTCTTCCACTCCCAGGAGGAGGGAGCAGGCTTGGAGAGCTGGAACCACTCCAGAGACTCGGAGGGGTCCTGCCCCACCGAGCGCTCCCCCGAGCACCTGGGCGTGGGCAGAGACCCCGGGGGAGAGTCGGACACGGACACAGGTCAGATTTCCCTCTCTACATGATGCCCTGTCTCTCTAATCAAGCTCCTGTCACTGCTCCCCCAATTTTTTTTGCCTGATTTACACATGTCTTCAGCTGCAAAGAGCTGGAGGAGTTTGCAGGAGAGATGACAGATCTCCTGAGGCTTGAGCAAGTCTGTTTGGTTTGGATGTTTTATCCAAACCTGTCAGGAAATCAAGGGAAGCCCTGGTGAGCTGGGTTCCCTGGAGATTTTCAAAGCAGCTTTAGCTTTGGCCATATAATTATTTACAAGCTTCCCAAGCAGTGTGAGGAGGAGTGGAGGGGGTAAATGGGTAGCTCTGCTAGACCATCCCTGTACCTGCAAAGCAGCTTCCCAGTGAGGAGAAGGGGAGAATAGATCCAAAGCCCTCTCCCCAGGGTGTCACTCCTCCCCACCACGGCCTGGCTGGGTGTTTGTTTCAGCAGCATGTGGCATAAAGCAGCTGGTTGCACCCCGGAGCTGGGGAAACCTCTGTTACTCATGGGATGTTCTTCCCTTTTGTTCCAAGAGGATCTGTACTATGCATCCCCTCAAACTTGTCAAAAGCAATGAGAAATCGTGTCTTTCCAAGGCAAATTTCAGTCTTGCTCTGACAGGAGCGTGTCTGCACTAATTAAATTTCATTAGTAAACCCTTTGTCTTCTCCAGGGAGGTTTGGGGAAATGCAGTCAGGCTTTTTTTGGCTGAAAACTCCTCAGACAAAACCTTCCCAACCTGCTCTCTTGACATTCCCCATGAATTTTGCGTTTCTATTTCCTTCTGTGGTTTCGTTGCTTTGCTTAAAATTTTGCAGGGCTGAGTGTGGCCCCCTGAGCTTTGGCAGGACCTTGGTGAGGGCTCCCTGCCTCCCACTGCTGGCTGCTCCCAGTGTGGAGTGGAGCTGATCCTGTGTCCCACCGTTCAGGAATGGATGTGAAGGCTCTGTCCAGGAGACGGGCGTACAGCACCACCCACGTCTCCGAGCACGAGCCCCGCAGGAAGGTGCCCACGGCCAGCGACCCTGGCACTGCCCTGGTGAGGAACCCCCTCAGGAAAACCCACCTGCAGGACCTGCAGCAGCTCAGCCCCGAGCCCTGGCAGGTGGATTTCCAGGTAGGTGAGGCTTTGCCTGCAGGTGGAAGCCAGCAAGGAGAAGGAGGAAATTATCAGGTGGATGAGAGCCTGAAGGAAAGGGCCTGACTCACACTAGCCCTAAAATATTGATATAGATAATAGATACAGCTCTGCAGCACATCCCAAACACTGGGGAAATGAGCTGAGCAGGGAGCAGAGTGCCATCCTGATATCCCTGATAACCCATAGCATTCCCTCCCCATGGGAACCTGCTTTTCCCTGCTCCCCTTCCCCTCAGCAGCCTGTGCTGCTCCTCTGGTCCTTCTTACCTCCCCACAATTTAGGATTCAAACCTGCCCATGGCTGTGGCACTTCTGTGCCTGGCAGGGAAAAGGAATTCAGTGCCAAAGCAGATTCCCAGCTGGATCCATTGCCTTACACAGCATTGGGATGAGATGTGTACCTGTGTGATGATACATCTGCTGAACAGGGTTTTGTCCCCTACCTGCAGCAGGTGAAGTCTGGGGACATTTTTCAGCTGATCTTTGGGAAGGATAGGGATAGTTTTCTCTCATCCTTGGCATTGCTGGGATGCTCTGCTCTGCAATCAGCATCTGCAGGGCTGGGAGGACCAGCAGCACATGTGTTCCCATGGAAACTCAGAGCAGGGACTTTCATTTCCCCTCTTCTCTGGGTTAGAGATCACTGGGTGAGGGCTGGGAGGGGAGATGAGGGGGCAAAGGGGAAAGCAGGGCCAGGGCTCCAGAGGGAGGGATGAGACCTCTGCCCTCAGGCTGCAGCAGTGAGGGTGGTGAACAGCAGCAGTGACCAAGAACAAGCAGCTTTTAGGGGTACTGGCAGCATTCCCTGTATTGGGAAGGTCCCCAGAGCATCCACCTGCCCTTGGTGTGCGGGCAGGGGTGGAGCTGACTCCCTTCTGGGGAGCAGTAAATGGTTAACAGCACACAGCCTGCTCTTAATTAAATGCAGCCTGGTTTTGCTATCCCTCCTGCTGCCAGGGCTCCCAGCAGCTCTCCCAGCTCCCAGTCCTGCTGCCAGGGCTTGACATTTTCAGGGGTGTGAAGCCGAGCCCTCAGCTCATCTCCACGCTTGCCATGCTGGGAAGGAAAGGTCAGCAGCAGCCACGGGCAGCTTAAACCCCCAGCTCCATTCCCAGCTGGCTTCCCCTGGCTGGGAGAGAGCTCAGGCAGGAGAAGGAGCAGGTTTGGAACAGAAAGGGTCTGGCAGGATGTGTCAATATTAGCTTGGTAAATCCTGCCTGGAGCCACCTGGCTCCCAGTTTTGCTGGTGGTGTCATAGAACAACAGAATTTAGGTGGTGGTGGAAGTCATATATGTCTGTCACTCAGAGACCACTCTCCATTCTTCCATCCACCACTTTCTGCCACCTCTGTTCTTTGCTGGTGATGTCCTAGGAATATAGAGTCTGTCTATTTACATGGATCTTCCCACAGCCCTGGGGACAGGGATGAAACCCAGACCTTGCACAGGGGAGCATCTCTGTGGAATGTGGCACCAGAGGTGCTGGAGTGGGGGATTCATGTCTCCTGAAAGTGGAGAAACAGTCTCATAAAAAAAAAAAAAAAAAAAAAAAAAAAAGATAAAAAGATAAAAATTCCTTTCTCCCATCCCCTGCACCTCTCTCCTTTCGTTACTAAGCAACTGGTCCTTGATCTTTCTGTCTCTCTTCTTTTCTTTGGTTCCCAAGCGAAGTCATTAAAATGTCTGGAGGGATGAAACTCATATTTCACCTTCTGTATGTCTGGGGAAGGAGCCCCTGGGGCCAGGGTCCCTTGGGGACACCCCAGGGTCTGGTGGGGAGCTTTGTCTGGGCACAGATCCCAGCCAGGGGTGGGCAGAGGGAAGGACCTGGGTGATGGCGTCCCTCACAGGGGTTGGACGGGGGGCAGATGGGATCAGAGGGGACAGAGCAGGTCCATGCATGGAGCAGAGGCACAGAGCAGGTCCATGCATGGATCAGAGGCACAGAACAGGTCCATGCATGGAGCAGAGGGCACAGAGCAGGTCCATGCATGGAGCAGATGGGATCAGAGGGACAGAGCAGGTCCATGCATGGAGCAGAGGCACAGAGCAGGTCCATGCATGGAGCAGATGGGATCAGAGGGCACAGAGCAGGTCCATGCATGGAGCAGATGGGATCACAGGGGACAGAGCAGGTCCATGCATGGATCAGAGGCACAGAACAGGTCCATGCATGGAGCAGAGGGCACAGAGCAGGTCTGTGCATGGAGCAGATGGGATCAGAGGGCACAGAGCAGGTCCATTCATGGAGCAGATGGGATCAAAGGGACAGAAGGGGTCCATGCATGGAGGAGATGGGATAGAGGGGACAGAGCAGGTCCATGCATGGAGCAGAGGCACAGAGCAGGTCCATGCATGGAGCAGATGGGATCAGAGCAGGTCTGTGCATGGAGCAGATGGAATCAGAGGGACAGAGCAGGTCCATACACGGATCACAGGACACAGAGCAGGTCTGTGCCACTGCCTGCAGCCCGACCCAGCTCTAACCCCCGCTCTGCTCCCAGCCCCTCCCGGCCGTCCCGCCCGGCTCTGCCGGCAGGATCCGCGGCTCGGGCGCCCGGCGCCCCGCCCTGCTCCAGCACAGCTGCGTGTCCTTCTGCCACGGCGCCACTGCCCCGGACGGGCTGCAGGAAGCCATCAGGAGCCTGCACTCCTCATCGGACAGCCGGAGCCCCGGGGATGTGGGTGAGTGGGACAGGGGGAGGCATGGCCAGCCTCACCTCACCCTGTCCGTGCCGGGGGCTGGTGCCATTGCATCGCACCCCGTGCCACCGTGTGACAATTGGGGAGCATTAATTATGGTTTTGTGGTGCCAGTGGGGAATTCAGCTCCCGGGGAGGTGATTAATGCTCCTGCTCTCCCCTCTCTGCAGAGGCTGCCCAGCATCCATCCCTCACCTGTGAGACAGAGACCTCCTCCGACTGGGAGCCGCAGGACCTGGATATGGGCGCTGCCTGCGGCTCCCCGCGCTCCCCCAGGGCCCTCTGCAGGGCACTGGTGAAGGGGCTGAGGAACAACGAGCCTGTGCAGTGGGAAGTCACGTTTGACATCCACCCTCTGTTCCGGGAGCGGGAGAGCCACGAGGATGCTGACACAGACCTGTGGAGTGAGACCTTCCACCACCTGGCAGCCAAGGCACTCATCCAGGACCTGGAGCAGCTCGCTGAGAGGGAGTGTGAAATCGAGCATGGTAATGCACAGCTGGCTGCAGGCAGACCCTGCCCGGCCTCGGGAGGGCTTTCCAGCAGTCTCAGCAGCCTCTGGAGTGAAAACAAAAGCTGCTGGTGGTGAAATATTAGGGAATCTCTCACACAACTCCCAAATAACATCTCCCTTCAGCTGCCTTGTGCTCTTCTGCTTCTGCAGCCTTCCTGCACATGATCATTCCTGAACTCATGTTCCTTCCCACTCCTCAGAAGCAGGGGTTGGACTTGATGGTCCTTGAGAGTCCCTTCTGACTCAGTATGTTCCATGATTCTGTGATCCCTCTGCTTCATGCATGAGGTAACATGGTTATTTTTAAGGAGTTGGTCACTTGGAGCTGGGAAGTGACATCCAACTCCAGCAGCAGCCACATATCACTGCCATGGGCCACACATGTCAACCCTGTCCTCCATGAGGTGCTCTGGCCTTGTAAAATAACAGCAGGAGCAGCAGTAGGCAGAGTTTAGAGAGATAAAGGGATGCAGCCCCAGCTGGGCATGGATCCCAGCATGGGGGTGGGTGTGGGTGGTGGGTGTGAGGGACCCTTGGGGACCATGGACTCTGACCCTGCTGTCCCTCCTCTAGTAGGGTCTGGGAGCTGGGTGTGAGGGGTTGAGCAGCCCTTGGGGCCCATAGACTCTGATCCTGCTGTCCCTCTGTGGCAGGGTCTGGGAGCTGGGTGTGAGGGGTGGGGACCCTTGGGGACCATGGACTCTGACCCTGCTGTCCCTCCTGTGGCAGGGTCTGGGAGCTGGGTGTGAGGGATGTGAGGGGCAGGGGACCTTTGGGGCCTGGGGATTCTGACCCTGCTGTCTCTCCTCTGGCAGGATCTGGGAGCTGGGTGTAAGGGGTGGGTGACCCCTTGGGGACCATGGACTCTGACCCTGCTGTCCCTCCTGTAGCAGGAGCTGGGTGTGAGGGGTGGGGACCCTTGGGGCCTGTGGATTCTGACCCTGCTGTCCCTCTCCTGGCAGGGTCTGGGCGCCGGTTCCAGCTCAGCGCTGTCCACACCAGCAAGGCCTGTAACATCATCAGCAAGTACACAGCCTTCGTGCCTGTGGACCTGAGCACCAGCTCCTACCTGCCCACCCTGGTCCAGTACACCCACACAGGTAACGTGGGGCTGGCACAGGGCTGGGACCTTGTCCTGGCGGGGAAGGTGTCACTGGGAAACTTCCCTCAGGGCAAACCCTGTGAAGCCGCAGCACAATTTGGCACCAGACCCATACCCAAGGCCATGGTCAAGTTCTTGGTGGTGCAGACCTCTTCCCATGGCCAGAGAAAAGGTCTCCTCTGAGGTTTGGATACCCAGGGATGACCAGAGAATCACATAATGTTTTGGGTTGGAAGAGACCTTAAAGCTCATCCTATTCCACCCCTTGCCACCATCTCCATTATCCCAGGCTGCTCCAAGATCTGTCCATCCTGGTCTTGGACATTTCCATGGAGGGAGCAGCCACAGCTTCTCTGGGCAACCTGTGCCAGGGCCTCACCACCCTCATATCAAAGAATTTGTTTCCAATAGCCTATCTAAGCCTACTCTCTTCCAGTTTGAAACCATTCCTCCTTGTCCTGTCACTCCAGTTCCTGACCGAGCTCATTCTGTGGCTTCATTGCCATCATGCAGTGCCAGTCTGTCTCTAAAACTGGTCATTCTCTTCTCTCATGCCAAGGGGCAGCATCCAAGCAAGGCAACCAGAGGAAACAGAAGAGTTCAGGACACAGAAGGCATCGTGGCTGTTCCCCGGGACATCCTCAGTCAGCATGTGGCCAGAATGGAGACTATGGATCGAACAGCATGAGTAAGATTGCCTGGGGTTTTATCTCCTTCCTGCTGTTAGAGATCTCAGTTGTAGCAGGCCATGGGCTTGCTAGGGCCCCGTGGAGAGCAGAGGCCTAAGGAGAGGAAATGCCAAGTCATGGCAAGCCCCTCTCTTCCCCCTTTCAGACCCCAGCTTATCTCTCTGTAACCCCATAGGTCACTTTCCCTTAACCCCTGCTACTGGACAATTCTGGATACCCCTATACCCTATATAATGGGCTGGTTTAGCCCATTCTGGTCAGAAGAGCCGTCACTGGAACCCTTCACAGACCCCCAGTACAGACACCACTGTGGAACTCCAGAGCTGCCTTCTGTCTCTCTCTGTGTCTGCCGGCCGGCCAGCGATGCCTTAGCAAGCAAAAGAGCTGAACTCAAGAGAGCTGATAAGCACTAAAGAGCTGATATCCCTTATGCTTGCTAGAGGTAGCCAGGGGCTGAGAGCTGCTCGGGTTTCAGGCAGTGTCCCCATAAAGGACTGAGCCACCCAGCCCGTGCAGCCTGCTCGGGGGCAAAGCTGCTCTCAGCAGGAACCCGGGACACTCAGTGGTTTGGGGACACCTTCTCTGGTCCTTTTTAAATCCTGCCTTCCCCTTTGCATACGGTGCTCACCAGACACGTGTCAGGCTGGGGCTCATCTCCTTGAAGGGCGAGGAAGCTTCAATTTCCCCCGAGCCCTGACAGGGCAGGGGTGCTGCTGGCAGCGCTCAGGAGTTAATTGGCAGCTGTAGCGTGGGCAACACGCAGGATGAAACGAGTGTAATTAGAGGCAGGGGGGATGTGAGACACTCACTTGTCACCAAATCCTCCACTAATGAAGACGAGTTGGATCGGACCTTGTCTGGCACTGTCAGAGCTGGAGCTGAATTACAGAGCCCCAGAGAGGCTCATTAACCCCATCGTGCTGTGGGAGGGGAGGTGCTGGCTTTGGCTGGGTGCTGATGTGTTTCCTTGATTGCAGATGCTGAGGAGAGGAGCCCCTCACCCTCCAGCACCCCATCTTTGTCTGCCTGGGAGCGCTGCCGTGGCCCTGAAGGTAGGGGAAGAGCTGCTGGCACTTCTTGCAGCTCCATCAAATCCGTGGTTTGGGCTTCTGCTGAGTTTTGGGGAATTTTATAAAAAATTATGACCTAAAACTAGGCTTGTGAGCACAGGGCCTGACTCATTCTGAGGTGCAAAGGATGGAACTTGATGTGGGTTTTGGTATAAATCTCCTCCAGGTTCATTTTTAAAAGGTGTAGGAATTTTTATTATCCGTATAGGAAAAATGAGGCAAGGGGAGAGGAGGAGTTTTGCCAAAGATTCAGCAGCCAAACAAGCCAGGATCTTGGCTCTGCTCCCTTTTGCTCCCCTGTTGCAGCTTGTAACCCCAGCACTGTGTTTCTCCCCAGGGCCTCTCCACAGCCTGTCTGCTTCCTCTGCACAAGCCCAAAAATCCATTGAGAGGCTCTTTGCTGCCAGGTATGATCCAGCTCGACCTTCTCTGACCCCAGCAGGTGCCTTTCACCTGTGTGGGTCTGATGTGAGCACAAGCCAGGGGAAGAGGAGGGACCCAAGGACAGCAGCTGGAGCTGGGGCTAAGCATGGTGCCGCTGTCTGGGGAGCAGGGATGGTTTGGAGGGGAGGGTGGGTGTCAGGGTGAGCACAGAGGTCACAGACACCTTTTCATCCTTTCACAGGCTGACCCTCAACAAAACCATGCTTCTGGTTCGAGCTGCCAAGGGCTTCATGGGTAAATCTCCAAGCAGAGGGAGCAAAGCCAGCTCTGGGGGTGACAGTGAGAGCATGGACTACCTTCCCCTGGTGAGCAGCTCCTCCCTGGGTCTTGTTGGGGTCGTGTGGTCACTGCAGGGGAGCAGAGGAGGATCCCCCCAAATCTTCCTCCTGCTGCTTCTGTAAACTACGTCCAGTGACCTGCTCAGAGATGGAGAGCTGTTTCACCCATACATGCCTTTTTCCTGAGCTACCCTGGTGCCAGAGCTTCCCTTTGTGCCCACCATCCCTTGCAGGTGTCCCTGCAGCTGGCCTGTGGTGCCTTCCTTCTGAATTCAGCCTTCTGCGACGCCGTCAACATCCCCATGGAGAAGCTGAAGTGGACATCACCCTTCGCTTGCCACCGCCTGTCCCTCAGCCCCTCCGGCTCCTACAGCAGCCAGAGGAGCAGCTCCTCCTCCTCGGAGCCCAAAGCCCTGAACTGCCCCCGGCAGCTGCCGGTCCCCAGCGGGCAGGGGAAGGGCCCCACCGCCGCAGACCCGGCTGGGGGAGCAGTGCTGAGCGCGGGCCGCCCTCGGCACCTGTCGGGCAGCGCTGCCGAGAGCATCTCCAGGGCGCTGAGAGCCGAGCGGGAGCAGGAGCTGCGCCCCCCGGCCATCACCATCCGCAGCTTCTCCTCCCCCGCCCACAGCCGCGCCTGGGACACCGAGGGCGGCCCCGAGCTGCAGGCTGTGCTCTCAGACGAGTTCCAGGCTGTGCTCTCAGACGTGGAGCTGCAGCAGCAGACGGAGCCCGAGGGGATGCTCTGGGCCACGGCGGTGGCCCTGGCCTGGCTGGAGCACAGCTCAGCCTCCTACTTCATCGAGTGGGAGCTGGTGGCTGCCAAAGCCAGCCTGTGGCTGAGCAGGCAGGACTTCCCCGGGGGATCCAGCCTGGCCGCGGTGAAAGCTGCAGCCCAGCAGCTCTTTGTGCTGCTCCGGCACTGGGATGAGAACCTGGAGTTCAACCTGCTGTGCTACAACCCAGGCAGTGTGTAAGAGGAGGAGGAGGGAGGCTTGGGCAGATTACTGAGGGCACAGGAGCAGGGATCTATCCTTAAGGAAATGCCTCCAAGGAGCTCAGCTCCTCTGCTGCAGGGATGTGTGTGTTTATTAGAGCAATCCCTGCACACACAGCAGCCTGGGCTAAACCCTGCACTCAGCAGTCAGGATTTTGCCCTGGAAGGGAACCCACCACTGCCTGCAGTAGATGCTTTTTATTTTCAACTAGATCAGCACTTCCAGCTATAGCAGTTCCCTCTGATTCTGGTTTCTTCTGGTCCAAGCCCAGTTTCCAGGGCAGATCTTGTGGCCTGCTCCACTTTCCCTGTCCTTGCTTAGATGCCTCTTCCCAGCTCTGAATCACTGCCAAGCCCCCACTGCAGCCCTTCAGCCCCAAATCCCTACTTTCCTGAGGCTCCTGCCTGGCTCCTGCCATCTCATGTGGCTTTCAGAGAAGGCAAAGGTCTGACAACATGCTCATCTCATGGATAAAAGGGAATCTGGGCTGGGGATGAGCATGTGAAGAGCAGCCCCGCTGTCACAGCCAGGAGGATCGAGCCCAGCCAGGCCAGTTGGAGGCTGGGACCAAACCCCATCCCATCCACACAGTGCTGGGCTCCTTCAGGCTCTCTGCAATCCCAGCAGGAGTTTGTGAGGTCCCTTGCAGCCAACGTGTGCCTTTGGAGCTTCACAGGCAGAGCCAGGGTGCCCGGGATTGAAGGATCAAGTGCCTCCAGGGGGAGTTGTGTGCCACTGTCTGCCGTGGAGCCCGCCTGGAACCCACTGCCTTCTGCTCCCTCCCTTGGCGTGTAGCAGCCTTGCCTGTCCCAGCAGGCTTCTGTCTGGTGTCTGTGTGTCTGGGGGTGACACAGGAGGGAAACCTGAGCTGGACACCATGAGCACCCCTGTGGTGTCTGCTCTCCAAGGTCCCCAGGACTATGAGCACCCTCTGGTCTCTACTCTGGTGTCACCTCTCCAAGGTCCCCAGGACCATGAGCACCCCTCTGGTGTCTGCTCTCAGTGTGGCCTCTCCAGGGTCTCCAGGATTATCCTTCTGCTCTCTGCTCTGGTTTCACCTCTCTCGGGTCTCCATGAGCACCCCTCTGGTCTCTGCTCTCCGTGTCAGCTCCCTGGGTTCCCCAGAGCCTCGAGCCCCCCTCCAGTGTCTCTGATGTCCCCTCTCTGAGGTCCCCAGTGTGGCAGTGCTCGGTGCTGCTGCAGGTTTGCCGGCCGGGCGCCTCGGCACAGTCGTGTTCTCTGTTGTTGCAGAAGTGTTGTTGTCCCAGTAAATCACAGCCTGCTCTAATTGCCAGTGTGAATCCTTTGTTTTGGGATGGGTTCTTGGTGGGTTTCCCTGGGGCCACCCCAGCTGCTTGGAGCACTGTGTGACTGTTGAGTGAAATACCCCCCAAAAAACCCCGTGATGATTTTAATGTGTGAGTTTAGGTCTAGGTTTTAGAGGGGATAAGGAGCTTCCTTCCACTTTTGGGGAGTTGTGTTTTGCAAACCCTGGATTGCACAGCATTTGGTGAACTGATGCATCCAGGATTTTAAAACCCAGGGGAAATTTGGTTTGGTTATTCTCTGAGGCAGAGATGGAGCTGAGAAATCTGCTGTCTTTCTCTGCATAGTTTAACCTCTCACCTTGGTCAGTGCAAGGAAACAGGAATCCTGCCTTCATCCCACACCATTCTTAATTAGTGTTGTAATCACAGGAATTGGTAAAGCAGCCATTGTGTTTTCCAATCCAAAGCAGGACATGGGAGCTCTGCCATCCTTTATTTTCCCCTTGGCAAGCAAGGACCCCCTCAGATGCCCTCCTGCTTTTGGTGACCTCTCTATCTATACATATATCACATAAAATAGACACTTCTAGCCCAATTTCCTCCCTCTGGACTGCATCTCCGGGGATGGAGCAGATTCCCAAGGAGGGATTTGGTGTCTCCAGCCCCAGCATCTCCAGAGGCCCCCTCAGAGCACCCTCTTGGCATCCAAGGGGATTTCACCCCAGTAAGTATTTTCCTTAAGGAAGGGCACTCCGGTGCTGTTGCCGGGGTGACCGCAAATGCCTTATTAAGAGAAATTAATTCGAATGCAGTTGTCAGCCATGGCTTAATAAATAACCCCCTAATGCTGTGTAAATAAACATTTGCATGCAGTGCCCGCACGGGGACGGAGAGACGTGCCATCCCGGGCAGCCTCGTGCCAAGGGCGGTTTTGGGGAGAGAATTGGCCAAGTCGGGGTTATGGTGAGACCCCGCAGAGACCCCTCCGTGTCCCCCTGCCCCGTCCCACCGCGCTGGGGAGGTTTGGCTGCCGCGCTCCTCCTCCGCAGGGCTCATTAGCCGGGAACCGGAGGAGCCTTTTCGTGCTTTGAAGGGTTATGAAATCTCAGGGAGAGGGGGAGGACAGAGGGAGAGCTTAAAAAAGAGCCGTGGTGTCCCCCCCCGCCCCACGAGCCAGCCGCCGCCTGCCGAAGGAAAAGGGCTGGCAGCCGCTCCGGCACAGATTGCGCCTCTGCCCCGTCCCCCGCCGACGGGCGATGCCGCGGGGTGCAGAACTCGGCTAGAAAATGACATTTTAATCAGAATTTGCCATGTCTGCTGTGCCTGTGTCCCAGTGCTGAGAGGGGAGCGGGGGGCAGAGGCCACGCTGCCATCCAGGGGCTGCTCCAGTGCCTTCAGCTCCCGAGCTCTCCAAATTGGTGCAACATCCACCTGCGATGCTGGGGAGCAACCCTCACCCCCAAAACCCGAACAACCCTCACCCCCAAAACCCGAACCAACCCTCACCCCCAAAACCCAAGCCGGGGAGCAGCGTGGGGCTGTCTTGTGTTAACTACAAAATAGTTTCGCTTCGGGCACGTCTTTGGCTTTGATTTTCCCCATCCCAGGACCCCGGGCATGCCGGCGGGGGATGCAGCCAGTTGGTGCCGTGGGCTCCATCACTCCTGAAATAGAGCCCAGGGGCAGCTTTTGGGTGTCGGAGGCATCTGAGTGAAGTCATGTGGATGTTATGCAAGACTTGATGATAGGTTGTAAACAGCTATTAAAGTGATTGACAGGCCCAGGACGAAGTTTTGAGGGGGGGAAGAAAGGGGAAAGATGAGTAATAATGATTAAAATAATTATCAAATCGAGACGTTCCTTGAATAAGGGAAAGTTTTGTGAGGAGGGAGGAAGATGAAGAAATCACATTTGAGCATTTCCCTGAGCTGGGAGTTGGGAGGATGGGGCACATACTGAGCACATAAAGTTTGGAAGGGAGGGTTTTGCATCTTTAAAACCAGCTAAAAAAGCAATTTCAGCAGAAATTTGGTGCATTTGGGTTCACTGAGTGCTCCTGGGTGCTGGCACCCCCAAAACCCGAGGGCTGAGCAACCCAAGGAGAGCAGCCCTGAGTTAATTAGGAGAAACAAGCAGATTATGGGGAAGACAGCTTCTATTTATATATAAATACTCCAGTAATCAGCAGTGAAGGGCAAGGGAAATCCAATAGAAATATGTGACTGTTTAAGAAGCTTTCTGAGCAAAACGTTACACAATCAGTCGCATTTGCCTCCGTCTTGCTCCAAGTCCCAAGAAATTACGGGGAAAAAAAAGAGTGACCCTGAGCAGAAGGAAGGAGAAGGGATTTGTAGAAGCTTCTGCCCATCAGATAAGGGGGAATCTCAGGAGCCTAAGTGGAGATGGTGCCAGCAGCGACCCCAAACCCCCCAGCTTTGCCCCCAGAACCAGCGAGCTCCACACCTCCCAATGCTGGGGGTTCACGGGGAGGTGCAGTCACGTACAGGTGAATTTCGCTCAGAAAAAAAGCTGCCTGCAGCTTCTGTGTGTTCGCAGGGTGCTGCTGTCAGTGGGTGCTGACACGGAGCAGAAATAGCTGTGGCCGCCCCTCGATTTCACACATCGCCCTCGCTCCTCCCGCAGCTCTGCCTCACCCCAGCACAGCACAGACTCCGGGGCTGCCACATGTGTCCTCTGCCGAGAATCACCTCAACAACGCTTTCCAGAGGCAATCAGGTGTTTGGATGCTCACCTTGGGGCTTGGAGCTCTCTAAGCACCTGGGGCATGTGTCCTTTTATGTTGTTTCCCCTCCCAGGGCAGCTGCGCTGAGGTTTTGGGATTTGTTATCCTGAAGGCAATAAAAGGCCGAGGATGAGGTTTGGGGGTGTCTCAGGGGAGGGATGGGTGCAGAGCTGGGCTATCTGACCCTGCCAGTGAGCTGGTTGTCCCAGTGTTGTGCCTTTGGGGTGGCTGCTGTCCCCATAGAGTCATTCCCTACACAAAGAAGGAGGATGGAAATTTTTCCCCTTGCCTGCAAGGAAGCAGCAACACTGCCCAAGGGTCACTGGTGAGTGTTTGCTGCAGCTCTGGGTGTGCCTGTGGCTTTGCAGTGTGGGTTTGTGGGGTTGTATTTAAATCAGGAGAAACAGCCCCTCTTGTGCAATGACCTTTTCTGGTTTTCTCTTTCTGTGCCCCCTGTAAAGTTACCTTTGCCATGGGAAGTTTGGGCTGGGATGCACATGGGTCCTGCAGGTGCTTGTGCCCTCCACGTGCAGCCTCCTGGGGAGGTTCATTTAATTGTTAAAATAATTAAATCTCCTCAAGACACAGATATGATATTGCTCATACTTAAAAAGCCAAGCTAAAGGTTTGTGGGCTTCTCTGCTCATTAAATTAGAGGATTTCTTCGCGTTTTGTTGTGGTTTTTAATCCTTTCTTTGCACTGGGCAGGAAAACAAGGGATGTGAGTTGTGGGGTGGGAAGAAGTTGGAGTCAAAGCATCAGCTCCAGTGCAGTGGGCACAGAACCTAGGAATCCTGGAAAGGAATCCTGGAAAGGGTATAAATCCCTTGGGAAAGGTGACTGGGTTGGCATTGCAGGCTCTTAAAACCCTCTCTGGCCATGAGCTCATTGACAGCCATGGAGCTGGGCCAGATCCAAAGCACCACAGTGGGCAGAAACAACGTTGCTTAAGGCATGAACAATGTGTTTTAGGGCTTGAACAACGTGTTTTGGGGCATGAACAAGGTGTTTTAGGGCTTGAACAACATGTTTTGGGGCATGAACAATGTGTTTTGGGGCATGAACAATGTGTTTTGGGGCATAAAGAACGTGTTTTGAGGCATGAACAACGTGTTTTAGGGCTTGAACAACATGTTTTAGGGCTAGAACAATGTGTTTTAGGGCTTGAACAATGTGTTTTAGGTCATGAACAACGTGTTTTGAGGCATGAACAACGTGTTTTAGGGCTTGAACAACATGTTTTAGGGCATGAACAATGTGTTTTAGGGCTTGAACAACGTGGTTTAGGGCTTGAATAACGTGGCTTAGGGCATGAACAATGTGTTTTATGGCTTGAGCAACATGTTTTAGGGCATGAACAATGTGTTTTAGGGCTTGAACAACGTGTTCTGGGGCTTGAACAACGTGTTTTGGGGCATGACCAACGTGTTTTGGGGCATGGCCAACATGTTTTGGGGCATGAACAACGTGGTTTGGGGTGAGCTGCCCTGTGTCAAAGCACCAGGGGCTGGCCAAAGGCACCTGGGTGCTGATGGGTGCTGGTTTGGAGGCAGTGCTCATTCCCCCCAGAGCAGCACTGGGAGCCAAGGGCTGATGCTGACCCATGGGTGTCCTGCTCCACAGAGGCTCCCTGGGAGCCCCAGCCCCACAAGATGCTTCCCCAGCACCTGTTTGGTTAAAAGCCTTTTTAAAATGCTTTTCCCCTGGGACTAACCCCATTTCCAGGCCTGGAAGGGGCAGCAGGTGAGTAGTGGATGCCACAGGGCTGGTGTGCAGGCTGCTTGCTGGCTTTGGGGGTTCTGGCAGCCTTTTTCTGGCTGTTCAGGGTTGAATTCCTGCTGTTTTCAGCCTATCCACAAGGATGGCGAGGGGATGGGGGCAGTC